CCTTGTCATTACGGTAGCAGAGGTGCTGCAGGTAGGCAGCTGCATTGGACTTGACGGCATCCAGCCGGAAGCTCAGCATGGCTATGACCTCCGGCAGTTCTGGCTGGCGCCAGTTACCTGGGGCCGGACCTCCCTTCCGCAGGCTGTCCAGACTAGCCAAGCTACCCCGCTCGTGCTGAGCCAGGGGGGCCCAGTAGTACCGGTCAGGGGCCACTTCATCCACCAGCATGTCTTCGTAACTCCTAGGAGAGAAGACAGCAGGCATCAGCACGAGCCCTAGACCTGGGGGGAATGCTGTACCCCCTCCAAGCCACCAGAAGATGGGCTGAAGCGCACACAGTGTCTAGTCACCACTACCTTGCTGGAGTGCACCGTGCAGACTCCCATCAAGGGCTGGGAGCCAGGCAGCAGAGCAGTGTCGGGGCACCTTCCTGCTCCCCACGCAGGGTCCACCTGGAGTCCACAGCTGCAGAAGGTGACCCCCATGCATCCCCAGGCCTGCTCAGGAAGCAGGCGGTTGTTCCCCAGGAGAAGGCAGCCTCAACAGCTATTCCAGTCCCTTCCCACTCACCGGGTTTAGTTTTGGGTCAGGGGCTGGATCCTGGTCTCTGCATAACCTCCACGGAGGCAGGAGCCAGCCCCAAAGGCACAAAAAAACAATTTGGGCCTGCAGCCACTAGAGGGCAAGTTCATACCACAACAGATTGCTGGGAGAGCAAATCACCCAGGAGTTCCCCAGGCCCGTTACACCAGCACTGCGTGGGTGCAGCAAGCGCCCAGAGTCCAGTTTCAGGCCATCCAGTTCTCTGTTGCACTGTCTGGCTGTACCAACACTGCATCCCATCACCCCAGCTGCCCCGCAGCAGCCCAGGACACACAAGCTGCTGCCAGACCAAGCCACTGCCATTATTTCAGAGCATCATGGCTAGAACAAAGATTTTTAGCCAGGATGGGGCTCAAACACTGGGCATCTGCTGGAAAGAGATATACCCAAGTTGCACTGCTGCCCAGAGGATGGGCTTAGTTGGGCATCAAGGGACACCTGGGCTCCAGGGATCAACCTCACTGCTCCCAGCTCAAGCACAGGGAAGAGCTGTGGTCCCACACCCCCTGCCCTGGTGAGATGCGGTTCACCCACAAACCTAGCAGCACTGGGAATGAGCCCCAAAGACATGGAAGCTGCAAGAAAGTGCAATAGTCCCCCATGAGCCAAGGTGATATTTGACACCCCCAGAACATGCACCACACAAAATCCCAGATCCTCACCCTATTTTTGTAGTCACTGGAAATATAATCCTTCCCCCACCCAGGCAGAGGACTCCAGCGATTTCCAACAGAAGGGGATGGAAGGGGACTTGGCACTTAAACAGAGGGACCTGACTGCTGCTGTCACCCCTGCTGTGCCAGGGCACTGGGGACACACAACCAGGGTCCAAGATGAGGTACCATCCTCTGGCTCACACTTGCCCTGGGGACTCCTCAGCCACCTTCTGAGCTCCCAAACCAGGTGCAGGCAGCCCCCTGCCCCTAAGCAGGCAGGGGAAGTTGCAATGAGGGATGGTAGCAGGTTCTGCTCCTTATGCCACTGCTTCCCCTACGGCCTCTGGTACGGGACTCGCCAAAGCCACCGGCTACAGGTGGCAGCCACATCCCTCTCAGGTGCTGCTGCACAGCACCACCACGGATGGTGGCAGTGGGCTGCGAAGTTGGCTTTCAGTATGTCCTGACAGGAAAATGCGCTGCTTGCCACATGACTTGGCTACTAAGAGATGCCAAGGAGTCCAGCCGCCCCGGGGAGTCGCTCCCCACTGCTGCAGCGCACGGTGCTCAGTGCACTGCGCCAACCACCAACACCATCCCCACAGCAGGACAAGGCAGGAGCAAGATGCAGCCGAGTGCCAGTGTCACAAACAAGCCACCCAATGCTTGTCAACACAGCCAGCAGCTGACCTTGCTCCCATGTCAAGACTCACATGTCCCAAAAGGGAGCTCCTGCCCAGCCGCGAGGGTCATTCAGTGCTGGATACCCCCCTGCCCCTCCAGGAGAGATGGGGCTGGCAGGGAGGGGGGAGCACACCCTGTGCTGCTGCTAAACCCCTCTTCCCCTGCAGAGAGGGACCTCCGAGAAGAGCTGCAGGAGAGGGGACCTGCACACTTTGCAGCCAAGGGCAGCCAGCACACGCTGTGTCTCTCGGCTCAACGCACTCCATCTCCTGTGTGCCTGGCAAGCTGCCTCCCTGAAGGAAGTCATTAACAGCCAGGCCCCTGCTCAAGACAAACATCTCTGAGGCAGGGGGGATGCTGATCTCTCCTGTTCCCATTCCTGCAAGCCAGGCAGCTGAGCACAGATGGTAACTGAGAAGGCAGGGGACAAGCCAAGCTCAACAGCACCTGGATTCCACAGATTGCTGCGATCTTTATCGGTCTGCCTGGGGAGGGAGAGCCTGCTCATAGGCCGCACCAACTCATCTTCCATACCCTGCACCATCCCTGCAGGACAAGGTGACATCTCCACCAGGGCTGCTCCTTGGCCATGCTTGGAAGTGGGACCTTCTCCCCCTCTATTGTGACCCAAGTCCTCCGGTCTCCCACCCGGCTGCAGCTTCCGTACCTGGCTCCACACCTGGCTCCTCTAACTCCTGTCCTCCAGGATCTGGAGGGGCAGAAGGAGCACAGACACCATCCAGCCCAGAGGACTCGCAGTCTCAAAGGCCGAGTGGTTCAGATCAGGCCATCCAGGAAGGGCTCCTGCCCCCGTGTGCTGGGCAGGACACAAACCCAGGGAAGGTTTGCAAGCCAGAGCCTTCTGTCTTGGCTGGCATTCGCTCCCTCCACAGCCCCAGGCTGGAGAGAAGCAGCCACAGGTTGCACATACCTGCTTAACCCCTTCTGCCCAAGCTGCTCGCCGAGGGGCTAGCCTGACTGCCAGGTGCTCAAAACTGCTAATGCTGGCTTCTCGCAGCCTGCTTGAGTCTGTGCACACAGTGGGGGCAGCAGCCTCGCCTGCCCTCCTCTAGCCAGCACAAGCTTCACAAGGCAAGGCGGGTCAGGGAAATTAATCTGGGTGAACAACTACCCCAGCTGGCTCAGCATAGCAACAGAAACACTTGTGCTGGCACAAGCCAAAAGGACAAAGCTCCTCCTTTAGTCCCTTCAACAGCCAGGAGCTGCCGTGGATTTACAGTACGTGCCTCGAGACAGGTGGATCTCCAGCACAGGCTGGCAAGAGCCTCCTTTCCCTCAGGTCTCTCCCTCCTGCCTCCATTTTATGCCCTAGGAGCTTAAGCAGCCTGTGCTCAGCCTTACCTGTCCCCCCAGCCCCAGGGTACTCAGGAGATGTACATCCATCCTAGCCTGCTGACACAGCCCCCTCCCCATCTCTTGGACCCAGGCTCAGCCCCTTGCTCCATTCCTACCTCACCACCCTCTGAGCCCTCCTCCAGCACCTCCCCAAACCCCGCGTGACAGCCCAGGCAGCAAGCAGAGCAGGTTGTGAGGCTTAAACAGGCAACAACAGTGTTTGTGCAAGAGACACAGCTGGCACAAGACACCAGTCTACAGGAGTCATGGCCTCGGGCATGTAACATCCCAGGATGCCCAGCCACGTGCCTGGCAGGGCAGTTAAAGGACCACCAAGACCCTGCTCTGGCTGCCCAAGGGCAGCCACAGCCTGGTGGGGCAGTTGCTCAGCAGTCAGGCTGGAGGAGCTGCTAATCACCCCCAGACAAACGAGGGAAGAAGCTGCTACTGCCAAACAGGTCGAGCAGCTTCTCCCACCCTGCCCTGCCCGAGGGCCTTGCTGCAGGAACGCTCCCCGGTGCACTGCAGGGCTGAGCCTTGCTCACACCAGCCATGGGCTCAGCACAGCTCCCCAGGGCTGCTCTCAGCTCGGCGAGAACGCGATCATGAGGCTACTGCTACTTTTGATGCGGGGCTGTGCCGCACACCCCACACCAGGCACGGTTCCCAGCAGGATAAGCCAGGCCGGGGCGCAGATGAGCCTGCTGTCCGACTAGCAGAACGGGTGGCACAGAGAGGGAAGGGCCTGGAGCTACATCCAACCGCCCAGTGGAACTCCTTGCTGCAGGATGACCGGCTCAATTAGCACTGAGTTTTAACCACCAATTAAGCAGACAATTAGAAGCGGATGCAAGTTTTCTCCTGCATGAGCTGCGTGTGACTCAGCTCATGGTATTGTCTGTGCCATCCTCCTTCCTCCAGAGAGGGTGAAGTTAAAGGGACCCCTGTTGCGGTTTAACCTGGCAGGCACTAACTCTATCCCAGCTGAAACCAGGACAACCCCACAGCATCCCTCGCCCCAGTGCCTCCTGCCACGTACCTGAGCCGCCGCCGAGGATCAGATGGGGTCCCTGCCCGCCTGGCCGTGCCGTAGTCAGACATAAGCCCGTAGTCCACATCTTCAAAGCCCACGCTGCGCTGGTCATCCTCCAGGCCATATGGCTTGGGGTGGAAGTGGTTGAGGTCCATGTTGCTGCCCCCGACACGCACTTGAGGCTGGGGGCCATAGATGTCCTGGCGGCTGGGGGCCCGGTAGGTGTCCATGGAAGGGCGGTAGCGCTCGTCAATGCGGGTGACACGGGACAGTCCTCGTAGGGGCGGCCATAGCCGTCGGGATAGTGGTAGTTACGAGGGAGAGTGGCTGTGCCCGGCTGGCTCAGGTAGCTGCCAGGGCCCCCATTGCCATTCTTGCGGAAGTTCCTGTCCATGGTCTGGACGTAGTTGCTGGTGACGGGGGAGGTTTCCAAAGGTAACCCATCAGGCCCCACAGGCACCTGCTGCACCGTCCGCGTGGTCACAGTCTTCACCACTTTCTTCACCTAGAGGGATGGATGCAGGACACACATCAGGAAATGTCCTGCTCCCATCAGGACACACTCCCATCAGGAAATCCACCACACCCCTGCATCCCCAGATTCCCCTTCCAGCCCAGCACCTTACTCCAGGCAGATTTCACACCCTGTTTCAGCTCACAGCATGGCAAGCTGGCAGAGATCACAGCTGTAGCACCCCAGCCATCAGGTTCCCTGGCCAGAGCCCTGTCCCTCCATGCACTCCCCAGGCCCGTACCGTGGTCTCTGTACGCCGGGTTGTCCCATCATCTGATGTCTCCACAGACACGACTGACATAGCCCCTTCTGGGTCCTCCTCCATGGTGTACGTCTCCTCCACAATCTGGCCCGGGTCCTGCATCCTGGGGATTGTGCTGTACAAGAGGTGGCTGTGGTCCTGAGGGGAGCAAGGGACAGGCAGTCAGCCCCCCCACCACCAACACTGGCTTCCCTGGAGTGAGCCGGCCAAGAGATCTCACTTCTCAGGGAGCCCTGATATCCTCTTGCATGGGAGGGGATACCAACAACCCCACACCCAAAGCCTCTTCAAGCCAGGCCAGCCACATTAGAAACACAAGTCCCCCCCTCCCACCTAGGGTGGGGACACTGGAGCCCAGCACCCCCCACCCGGCAAGCAGGCTGCCCACAGCCAGAGGGCTCAGCTCCCCCTACCTGTGGCCCGTTGAGCTTCAGATCTGGATATTTCTGCCTTTCCAGGTCAGCATCGCCCAAGAAACGGCCGTTCTGAAACACAAAGCACCACAGCAGGCCTGTTACTAGACTGATGTCCCACTGCCGGGATGCCATATATCCATCCCACCTTCCCCGCCAGGCCCTGAGCAGGCCATCTCCTGCATCTGACAGAGACACCCAAGGCGCACCCCATGCGTCACTCCCAGGAGAGGAGCACGCTCCTCGGGGGTCTGTGCGACATGCAGCAAACCAGCCCCCATTCCAGCCTGCGGAAGAGTTGGAGAACACACCATTCAGCCCTGCTCCAGACATCCCAGCTCTCCCACGGTGCCCACACACTCCTGATGGAATGTCCAAGACCCTTCCCTGCTCCCCAGCACGGCCCTGGAGACCTTCCACATCTTCTGACACAGAAGCCACACGCAACATCCCAGAGGCCCCCCAGGATTACGAGGGAACAGCACAGATGCTCAGCAGCTGATTGCAGAGTGCTACCATTTAACTCTCTTGCGCTCCTCCTCTGCCCACTCCTTCCTTCCCCCCGACCCACAAGTCTCTCCTAGCACCACCACCTTCCACAGCCAGAAAGGCACCTGCCTTTCCACCTGCCGGAAAGGCACAACACCACGCACCAGCCCTCCAAGCACCCCTCCCCAAAACAGAGCCCGGGAAAGTGAGAACAGGAGAGAGACCTCAAGCCAAGGCAGATGAAACCACATTTCCAGGCCTGTAGAGAAAAGAGATCTCTCCCAGCCCTGGTTTGGCTGTTTGGGGGATAGACTGGGACTCCAGGGACTTGTCCATCGTCACACAAGAGGGAGACACATACACTCCCCCGCAGCTATACACCAACCCCTGCATTTTGGCCACCTTCCAAGAAGCCGAGCGGGATGGAGAGCAAAGATGCCCAGGTAGTGAATACGGACAGCCTCCAACCTTCACAAAACCAAACCAGAGCTGACCTGGTAGCAAGACCCTCCAAGGCTGGCTCCTTCTCCCCAGAAGACTCTGGCTGCCGAGGTAGGTTTGCACATCCCCAGATCACCTTCAGCCCCAGCACACATACAGCACCATCAGTGTTACAAGACCAGCCTAGCCCTCCTCCACCTCACATACCCAAGGAGGGCCAAAGGAAGGGAGCCGGGCCCAGGGCTGCCCCCACCGAGGCAGGATTGACACAGACGGGGGCTCCAGGAAGCCTCCGCACCCACCTCTGCCGAGGGGGTTTTTTACCTGGTGCCGCCGGGTGAGAGTGCCGTTGGCCAAGCCCGGGCCGGCGTCCTGTGGGGAGACCCGGACTCGTTCCAGTTGGGCTGAGACATGGCGCCGTTCCTCCTCGAGCGCCCGGGTCAGCTTCTCAAACTGTGCCTCCTGCTCCTTGACAGAGGCAAGGATGCTGGCGGTCGACTCCACTTCCGAGTCATCCATGGGTGATGGGTGCCCAGGACGGGCAGGGCGGGGGCAGAGGGCACAGGGAAGCACAAGCGGTGGCGGCTTGGTGTCAAAGTGAGGGGAAGAAAAGTGACCCAGAAGGGCAGGAGCCCCTCTCTTCACTGCATGTGATTTGGGGGAGGAAAGGAGCGGTCAGAAGAGACTGATTTTGTTAAGACAGATTCTCAGAACAAGAAAAAAATTATCTCATGGCATTTACACCCATTCCCACCCACCACCAGAGAGCTGGCAGGAGGGTCTCAGAGCAGCACATCCCCAGGCGTGACTCAGGTGCTCCTTGCCCCAGCATTTAAGCTTGGAGAAGTGGCACTTTGGAGGCAGAAGGTCCTCCCCCATCACACCAAACAGTTGGGGTTGAGCCAGGTTCAGAAGAGCTGCTGTGTGCTGAGGAGGTTCCCTCTTCCCACAAGGGCCCTCCTCAGGCTGCAGGAGAACTTCCCCTACAAGAAAAAGCTGCCTGCAGTAATTGGCAGGAGGGGAGGGCATGTCCCTGGGGCAGAACAGGGGACACTTCCCCGCAGAATGAGAAGTGACCCACATCCCATTATTTCCTCCAGGGAAGGGCTGAGGGAGAGGGCTGTGTCACTTATCTGCTCCCTCCTCCCCAGTGTGATAAGAGGTGGGGAAACAGCCCCTAGCTCCTTCCTACCCAGGAAAGGGGATGAAGTGGGATGGGATCCCCCTAAAGGGGACCCCATGAGCCCCTTTGCCTGCTGCCAGAACTCACCACCCTCCAGGTACTCACCAGAGCACTTGGGGCTGCAGCCACCCCAGGAGGTCCTCACCCCACAGATCTAGGGACAGACGTTGGCTTGGACCCCTCCAACATCCCCTCCCCAAAGGAGAACAGTGAACGAGCACACCACAATCAACATATTTTGATAAAGAAAGGCAATATTCTTCCATACAGACCTGTTAGAAGAGGAAGCTCGGGTTTGATTGGCAAAGGCACAGGACAGCCAGGTCTAGACGCAGAGAGTCATGGGAGAAATAGCCCAGCCACCACAGTGAGGAAGCAGGAGGGAAGAGAGCTGCAGGGACAGCAGGAGAAGAGGTCAAAAATCACACGAGTGATCTCAAAACAGAAGGTAGGGCAGGTAACAGACTGGGGAAATGGGCTCCTCTCTCCCACCCCTTCTTCTCTGAGGGATGGGGCAGTGTCTGGCAAGGGCCGGTGGGGTGGCAAACACAGCACTGTTCCCACAGCAGCCTCCAAGCTCCCTGGAGACCCCAGCATTTCCGACTGTTCCCCATCGGCGGGGGAATGGCACAGGTGGAGAGGAGTGGCAAGGGCTCAGCCCTCCACCCCCTGCACAGCCCAGCTGAGTCCCAGCAAGCCCGGCAGAGGTTTTCCCAAACCCGTGCAGTCATGGAAGGCGTGTGGGGACTCGTTCGAGCCAGGCAGCCGGCACAGAAACTGCTTTCCCACGGTTTCCAGCATTGGCTCTGCCCACTCCCCCAGTGCCACCACCCTGGTGTGGCTGTAACGGTGACCTGGGACCAAAAGCATGGGCCCCTCTGCATAGCCCTGTCCCATCCGCCTCCCACAGCCCCACGCTCCCTGGCAGCCCTGCCCCTCCAGTCCCAGCCTGCAGCAGATGCTGGTTCAGAGGAGCTCAGAGCAGGGCTTTTTGTGTTTTTATTTTATTAATGTCCCACACCATCTCAAGTGTATCCAGATCAAACCCTTCCTGAAATGCCTCCCCCACTCCCAGCGAGTCCACTCCTCCCTGTGGCGCTGCCCCCCCTAAAGCTTCCCTCAGACACAGGCAGCCCTGGCACTTATCAGACACTGTGGCACCACCACGACTGAGCCCAGCAAAGCAGGGTGGATTTTTTCCAAGTGCTTTGGAGGCTGCCTGCAGAGCGTTTGAACATCTGGTCGCCACCACCCTGTAATCTGCCTTCATCAATAAAAAAGTCCAGTTGTTCCACTCGTGCCCATGTGGTGCCCAGCAAGAGATGAAGACGTGGCACATGCACACCCGCTCCAGACCGCTTCAGCTCCCAGTGCCCTGCCCCAGCCCAGCATGGGCTGGGATGCTTGCTGGCCAGTCCGCGCCCCAGGAGGAACGCAGCCCACTCTTGGCTCAGGAGCCCAAGCAGGCTTTCGGAGGCTCCTAGACATGACTCCTGGCTCATGCATGCAGCTTTCCACTCCTCCCACCTTGCAACAGGTACACCCTAAGGCTTTTTTCAACAGACTGACTCCCCAAGCCTTGTATGGAAATGCAGGGACGGCTCTGACCCTTGCTGCTCCGAGGTCTCACCTGCCCCATGGATTTGCAACAGAGATCCTCTGAAGGAGAGGCTTGGTGCCTCCCAGAACAGCGCTGACACATCCCAGCTCTCACCCTTGAGTCAAACACTCCCCATCTTTGGTGGGCATCCACCCACTTCAAGCAGGGACACAGATCCTCTGCCTTCTGGGACTCACTGAAGGTCACTGTCAGTCCGCATGGACACGGAGAAGGTCTGCAGGGCCCAGCCCCATGGAGTCCTATGCAGGGAGGCTGCTGCAGCCAGCCAGGTGCTGGGGAAAGGCAGCCTGGACCACTGACCCAGTCCCTCTCCCCCAAGAAAGGGGAAGCATCTCCTTGCCACATCTCAGACTTCTCCAGCAGGTCAGGGGATGGTCCTTCCACCCAGACACCCTACACAACTGGAGCATCCGAAACCCCAGCCAGAAGCCCCATTGGCTTGTTGCGATTCATTTCCAGAGTGGTACTTCACCAAGCCCTTTTAAAGAGAGGAACACCCCCCCTACAGAGAAGGGATCCTCCATGACATGACCTTGCCCAAGTAGCTGTGCTGCTATGTAACAGCTTCCCAGCCTGCCCTCAACCGTCTCTGTGCAGAAGAGGCAGATTTTTGGGGGCATGAGGATGGAGCCAGTCTGCTGGCTTCAAGGAGTGATTCAGCTGAGCCCTTGCTCTCGTGAACGGGCTCACTTGCTTGCAAGCAGCCTCAGTACTGAGCAGCAAGCGCAGACCAGCAGGGTTTGCCTCTGTGGGAAGGCACGTAGAGGAGAGACAGCAACCCCAGCAGATTCCTTCAGCCCTGCGTGGCTGCCAGGCAGGCCCCACTCAGCCAGCAACGCCTCCCCAGCCCCAGGTCCCCACCTCTGCACGTCCCCTGGGAACATGGCCCGGAGAACATGGAAGCTAACAATGAACTTTGCAGGGCTGTTAAGGGCCCCAGATAAGGGGCCAGAGCAGCTGTGAGGCTGTTTCCTTCCCGTCCCTTCCACAGGGAGTAAACACAACAGCAGAGGGAAGGAACAGGACAGGTCCCTTGCCCACCAGCTCTCCTTGTCCCCTTGCCCCTCCAGCCCAGGCAGGAGGAGGTGCAGGGACACACACAGGCTCCCCCTTCCCCTTTGGGCCACCAGGTCAGAGCAGAAAGCCTCAGGGAGAGGAGGCAGCCAAGGGGCTTTCAGGGAGCCTGTCACATCAGGGCAGCCAGAGGAAGGCTGGGCTGTGGTCCCAGGCTGGGTGGAGCCCATGGCTCTGCAGACCCATAGACACCTGACTGGCTGATGCTCAGGGGTGGCCATCTGAGGGTCTCTCCACAGGATCAGGCCATATTAAGCAGTGGGGTAGCAACTCTGAGTGTCTGGAGCCTGCCCTGCATGCATGGTTGTCGCTCCTGCCCTGAACAGCAGGCACAAGCTCCATCGTGGGCAAGAGGTGCCAGCAGAACAGGGTACCCACTGCCCGAGGGGGGCCTCCCAGCTCTCCTCCTGGGGCCTCCACCATCAGGACACACCACCTCCCTCCACTCTCGTTCCAGCCATCTAGTCCTCATCGATCTGGGATTAAAGACATAATTACCAAGAGGCAGCGCCAGGTCCAGAGAGGTTAGCAAGCGCTGGCCCCAGCTCTCCTCGCAGACACACGCCAGCGCCATCCCGGGCTGGAGCACAGCCATTCCCTTACAGCTGGCTAACACACAAACTCTGAACAACCACTCACAGCCCTATGCCCTCCCAGCTGTGGAGAATCTGCCCCAAATCCCTCCCACAGTGGCTCGCACACCAGCATTTCAGGACAAGGGCTTCCTGGGCACAGCACAGCCCCTCACCACCTCCTGATGCCAGCTCAGGGCACTGGTCATATTCAAAGTAAGACAGGGAGGGGAAGGAACAGGAGAGCCTCAGCTACGCAGCCTGATAGCGCCAGCCAGCAAGCTGCTTGTGACAGCTCAAAGCCAAGTACATCAGATCCCACAAGGGTGAAGTTCCAGGGATTGCTTTGCACCCATTCCCCCCCCTCCTCCTCCCCAGCCTCTGAAGACACAACTACAGAGCATTTTTCCAAAGCCAGACCCTGACCATCTTCGAGGACGGCTGCATGAAAGCCTTTTCATCATGAGAGAGGCACTTGCTGACACACCCATTACTTAAAAACCCCAGCAAGCCAAAAATATTTCAGCTGGCTTGGTTCAGGGCAAAACAAAAAGCCTAAGACAAAACACACCCCGGAGCAGCTTCTGCCCCAGGGCACTTCCCCCATGGCTATCAGCAAGAGGGGACCCACAGGGACCAATGCAGCTACCCAGAAAGCTTTAAATCCAAATCCCTCTGGCCTTATCTCATCTCCCAACTTGCTGTCACCTGCACAATCCTGTGCTGCGCCCAGAGGTCCTGAAGCCAGAGCAGGTCCACCAGAGGGACGTCCAACGCGCAGGGCCTTCAGAGAAGAGCCCCCTTACTGGCAGGGAGGCAGCCATGAGCCTATTTGCATGCACAGAACTTCCCTCCACAGGTACCCACCGTAATCTTCCTTGTTGGACTAAAGGCTTGGTAGCAGCCAGAAAGACACCTGACCAAGCCTTCCAGAGCTCTTCCACTGGGGGCAGCTTTGACATGGCACATTTTTCCAAAACCCCTTGCCCCTGCTTCTCTGAGGGATTGCCTTCCCCCAGAACAAACCCTTTGCCTGGAAAAATAATTGCCAGGGCCAAACCACAGCCATACCCACCTAGAGTTCACCTGCACCCTCCTCTGCTGGAGGATGGAGTTCAAGCCTTGAAGGCTCCCCACCAGGAGCGCTTCCCTGTCAGCCACGGAAAGATTAACCCCAGGGCCCAGACCAAGCCGGCAGATGGGGAACTGTACACCACAGGCCAGGGAGAACAGACAAGATCCAGCAGGTAAGACACAGGCAGGAGGCTTGACAGGCAGCACCCACTGCAGCACAGGGGATCTCCAGCACAGAGCCCTCTGCTTGGGTCTTTCCAAGGACCTGCTCCAGCCCTGCTCCGCGCCCTGAGTCCCCAGAGAGACTCAGGGAGATCCCAATGGTCCTGGGATCCCTGGAGCTAAGGCCACTCCCTCAGCATGGAGGATTTTGGGCAAAGTTCAACGCAAGCACCTAAAAAGCCAGAAACCACCTCCGCCACATCAGCCCTGCCCCAGCTCCCTGCTAAGAGTCACACCAGGTGTTCACTCCCAACAGTCCTCTGCCACCAGGGAGAGGGGAGGACAGAGTCACATTGGCTCTGACTGCCAAATCCCAGCCCTCCCTGCAGCTTTACTGCTTGTTTGTGTCCCCCGGGCACCTGTTAAGCAAGTGGCAAGGTTTGTCACCACAGCCAGACACCCCTCGCAGCCCCCCCCCGCTGCTATCAGGCATGAGCAAAGCAGCCCTTCTCCTCCGACTTGTCACCACCAGCCATGGTCAGAACCAGGAGGGACCCAGCCCCTCACCCGGGCTGGCTGAGCCCCTGCGGGGACACAAGGAGCTCCAGACTCCCAGGCCAGACCCACCCGCCAGGCTGACAAGAAGGGATGCACTGCCCGGGGAACTTGCTCCTGCTCCAACACAGTCCCCAGCACTGACTAGACAAGAAAAATGGCAACATCACTCAAATAATTCACCTTGCCCTATCAATTTGAGGGACTCTGAGGAAAGCCAGCTGGCTGCCCGCCCTTCAAAAGTGAACATCAACAGCTCTCAACATCAGACCCCCCATCCGAGAGAGAGAGAGAGAGGAAGCAACAAATTCTCCTGGTTCCAGTCACCTATCGTGATGCACTTAGGAAAAACAGAAACCCCATCAATAATTCAAGCCTGCAATTGTCCAAGCACTCACAGTG